TTGGAATTGGGGAACGTGAAAATTAGGGAACGTGGGAATTAGAGAATGTGGGAATTGAGGAATGCAAGAATTTGAAGATTTCTAAATTTAAGGCTCCAAACATTTGCCACTCCACCCAAAAATCTCCCACCAAATCAAAAGGTACAACCCCATCAAATTACAAAAATCAAGAATAAAGTTGAAAGGCGACTACAACCGTTTTAATTAGTCCCGCGGTTAAAAATTCATAGGAGCTCGCAGCAAACGGAAGATTGAAAGTGTTGGGGACGTTATTAGATTGCCGAGGGTGTGTTATCGATTATTTGTTTCGAAGCGCGTTAACGCGGCAGCGAAGAAGCAAAAGGAATGGAAAGTAAGTAGATTACATCGGGAACTTTGTTCTCTACCAAGTTATTGGAAGCGACCGAAGGATTTTTCGAACGAGTACTTCTTCTTTCTACCGATTGGAATAAAAATTTGCAATTTGAGAATTAGCCAGCAAAAATTAACAGCGAGTTACTTCGTCGGACGCGAGAGGAATTTTTTTGAAGAAGCCAACAATTAGCCGGCAGACGGAACATGCTCGTAGAAAGTAATGGCCGCTTGAAATTAAGTTTAAAACTGGCGCTACTGCTCGGCGAAATTTTTACGGGGCCCTTGCGGATTATACTACGGTTAGCAATGAAATGGACACGAGTGAAACAATATTTCCGTCTGTTTACTTTGCTGGCGATGTTTGCTGTGAACGTTAGCTAAATGGCCGTGACCATTGTGAACGTTATCAAGCTTTAAAACGAAGTGTATTGACAAGAGGATTCAGAATCTGGTTATTTGGTTTTAGTGTTTATTGTTGATAGTTTAGGTTTTAAGTAGCTTTTTGAAAATTTTGGGTATTGGGAAATTTTTTAATTGCGAATTTGAGAGTTTCGGTAGTAGGGAAATAGGAAATGTGGGAACTTGGTGACTTAAAAGTTGGAGGATGTGGAGAGGAAGAGATATGGTGATTTAGAAATATGGGAATTGGGGAATGTGGGAACTGGGGAATGTGAGAATTGGGGAATGTGGGAATTGAGGAATGTGGGAATTGGGGAATGTGGAAATTTGGGAATGAGAGGGAATTGGGGAATGTGGGAATTGGGGAATGTGGGAATTGGGGAATGTGGGAATTGGGGAATGTGGGAATTGGGGAATGTGGGAATTGGGGAATGTGGGAATTGGGGAATGTGGGAATTGGGGAATGTGGGAATTGGGGAATGTGGGAATTGGGGAATGTGGGAATTGGGGAATGTGGGAATTGGGGAATGTGGGAATTGGGGAATGTGGGAATTGGGGAATGTGGGAATTGGGGAATGTGGGAATTGGGGAATGTGGGAATTGGGGAATGTGGGAATTGGGGAATGTGGGAATTGGGGAATGTGGGAATTGGGGAATGTGGGAATTGGGGAATGTGGGAATTGGGGAATGTGGGAATTGGGGAATGTGGGAATTGGGGAATGTGGGAATTGGGGAATGTGGGAATTGGGGAATGTGGGAATTGGGGAATGTGGGAATTGGGGAATGTGGGAATTGGGGAATGTGGGAATTGGGGAATGTGGGAATTGGGGAATGTGGGAATTGGGGAATGTGGGAATTGGGGAATGTGGGAATTGGGGAATGTGGGAATTGGGGAATGTGGGAATTGGGGAATGTGGGAATTGGGGAATGTGGGAATTGGGGAATGTGGGAATTGGGGAATGTGGGAATTGGGGAATGTGGGAATTGGGGAATGTGGGAATTGGGGAATGTGGGAATTGGGGAATGTGGGAATTGGGGAATGTGGGAATTGGGGAATGTGGGAATTGGGGAATGTGGGAATTGGGGAATGTGGGAATTGGGGAATGTGGGAATTGGGGAATGTGGGAATTGGGGAATGTGGGAATTGGGAAATGTGGGAATTTGGGAAGATAAGAATTGGAGAATGTGGGAATTGCAAAATGTGGGAATTGGAAAATATGGGAATTGGGGAATGTGGAAATTAAAAAATATGGGAATTGAAAAATGTGGGAATTGGGGAACGTGGGAATTGGGGAACGTGAGAATTGGGGAATGTGGGAATTGGGGTATGTAGGAATTGGAGAATGTGGTTTCAGTGACGTCGTCGATAATGTAGCTTTTAAGTAGCTTCTGAAAATTTTGGGTGTTTAAGCAATTTAACCCCTTGCACTACAATCTATCAGATGCATTAGAACTACCTAATCAAACCCACAATTATAAAACAGACAAAAAGGTTGCCCATGCAAATGAATTCAACCTAACCTCCATATGGAAGTGAAACCTCTTAAAGTGAAAAAATAGATGATTCAAAAATTATCCATCTAATAAACGAATTTCCCAAATTCCCCATCAATTACGCCAATGTAATTATATTTTACGCCAATGATACTAGTAATCAGGTCTGAGAACGTGCAGCTGTGCACTTCACGTCACCTGCACGCAGCCTATATTCGGCGCAGAATTTAACCAGATAATCCGCATAAAAATGTGCAGCGCAAAATAGCTAGTAACAATTTTTTCGGGCGAGTTACAACGCGAGGACGGTTCAGCGGTACGAAATTAAATACCATCGTCCGACATTATTGCCATTTCAGGCAAGGTTGAATAATAAACGATGATGAGTAGCGCGGCGAGTTGTACGTACCATCGCGTCTGTTCGTTTGAAATATCTGCCGCATAATATCGGAACAGTAGCGTAGGCAGAATTTTATTTCGATGGGGTAGCTGGCCGTATCATCGAGTGTATCGAGCGGAACGAGCGAGCTCGGGGCGCGAGGAAACTGCCGCGGAGAGCAAGACGTAGAAACCCGCCATAAAGTAGATACATTGCGGTTGCCGCTCGTATTCGTCTCATAAACTTCGGATATTCTTCCCGTTACGCTTTTACCCCCGCCGGGCGAAGTAACGCAATTTTCGCTGCGAACTGGAATTCAATTTTGCGTTACATTAATTGCACCGGAAACGTCGAATCCACGGTTCTTGTTCAACGTTCATTCGTCCTGTATGATCGATTCGTTTCCAGACGAATGTCGATAAACGCGCGGTAATTGCATTTCAAGCATCGACTTATCGTGCCCAATCCCCTTCTCTATCGGCGGGCAAAAAGACAATAAAAAAAAAGAGAAGACGAAGATCGGTCGAAGTTGAAACGTCGGTTTCGAAAAATCCCTTTGCCCTGATAGAACAGCTCCCTACATTGGTTTCCGATGATTAGCCACTCGATTGGAAGCAATCGCCACGCGCCGATGTCCACGTACTTTCCACTTATTATACTTGGGCAGACGCCAATAAATCCACGATGCCTGATCCCACTCGGATCAAACAACGCCTTTTGCAATTTTTCTACCTATTTCCACGATATCTATTTCGCGCTGTTCTAGGAACGACGACATTTGGGGGGTTCGTTGTAGTTGCACATTTTTTTATTTAATTTTGTGCTAGGAATGCTTGAGAGGGCGGAGAGAAGTCTTATTAGTTCGAAGGGTAATTTATTTGTAGAGTGGAGTTACGTTTTATGTAAGTGGAGAGATCTGCTACTTGTATCTGGTACTAGAACCAGTCTAGTTACAGCGAATACCTGATATTGTCGATAGTTTAGGTTTTAAGTAGCTTTTTGAAAATTTTGGGTATTGGGAAATTTTTTAATTGGGAATTTGAGAATTTCGGTAGTAAGGAAATAGGAAATGTGGGAACTTGGTGACTTAAAAGTTGGAGGATGTGGAAAGGGAGAGATATGGTAATTTAGAAATATGGGAATTGGGGAATGTGAGAATTTGGGAATTTGGGAATGTAGGAATTGGGGAATGTGGGAAATGGGGAATGGGGAATTGGGGAATGTGAGAATTGGGGAAAGTGAGAATTGGAAAATGTAGGAACTGGGGAATGTGGGAATTGGGGAATGTGAGAATTTGGGAAGGTGAGAATTGGAGAATGTGGGAATTGGAGAATGTGGGAATTGGGGAATGTGAGAATTGGAAAATGTGGGAACTGGGGAATGAGGAAATTGGGGAATGTGAGAATTGGGGAAAGTGAGAATTGGAAAATGTAGGAACTGGGGAATGTGGGAATTGGGGAATGTGAGAATT